ACTACATAATGATCAAGGGATCAATCCAAGAAGAAGATATAACAATTATAAATATATATGCACCCAACATAGGAGCACCTCAATACATAAGGCAACTGCTAACAGCTATAAAAGAGGAAATCGACAGTAACACAATAATAGTGGGGGACTTTAACACCTCACTTACACCAATGGACAGATCATCCAAAATGAAAATAAATAAGGAAACAGAAGCTTTAAATGACACAATAGACCAGATAGATTTAATTGATATTTATAGGACATTCCATCCAAAAACAGCAGATTACACTTTCTTCTCAAGTGCGCATGGAACATTCTCCAGGATAGATCACATCTTGGGTCACAAATCAAGCCTCAGTAAATTTAAGAAAATTGAAATCATATCAAGCATCTTTTCTGACCACAACGCTATGAGATTAGAAATCAATTACAGGGAAAAAAACGTAAAAAACACAAACACATGGAGGCTAAACAATACGTTACTAAATAACCAAGAGATCACTGAAGAAATCAAAGAGGAAATCAAAAAATACCTAGAGACAAATGACAATGAAAACACGACGATCCAAAACCTATGGGATGCAGCAAAAGCAGTTCTAAGAGGGAAGTTTATAGCTATACAAGCCTACCTCAAGAAACAAGAAAAATCTCAAATAAACAATCTAACCTTACACCTAAAGGAACTAGAGAAAGAAGAACAAACAAAACCCAAAGTTAGCAGAAGGAAAGAAATCATAAAGATCAGAGCAGAAATAAATGAAATAGAAACAAAGAAAACAATAGCAAAGATCAATAAAACTAAAAGCTGGTTCTTTGAGAAGATAAACAAAATTGATAAACCATTAGCCAGACTCATCAAGAAAAAGAGGGAGAGGACTCAAATCAATAAAATTAGAAATGAAAAAGGAGAAGTTACAACAGACACCGCAGAAATACAAAGCATCCTAAGAGACTACTACAAGCAACTCTATGCCAATAAAATGGACAACCTGGAAGAAATGGACAAATTCTTAGAAAGGTATAACCTTCCAAGACTGAACCAGGAAGAAACGAAAATATGAACAGACCAATCACAAGTAATGAAATTGAAACTGTGATCAAAAATCTTCCAACAAACAAAAGCCCAGGACAGATGGCTTCACAGGTGAATTCTATCAAACATTTAGAGAAGAGCTAGCACCCATCCTTCTCAAACTCTTCCAAAAAATTGCAGAGGAAGGAACACTCCCAAACTCATTCTATGAGGCCACCAGCACCCTGATTCCAAAACCAGACAGAGATACTACAAAGAAAGAAAATTATAGACCAATATCACTGATGAATACAGATGCAAAAATCCTCAAGAAAATACTAGCAAACAGAATCCAACACCACATTAAAAGGATCATACACCATGATCAAGTGGGATTTAACCCAGGGATGCAAGGATTCTTCAATATACACAAATCAGTCAATGTGATACACCATATTAATAAATTGAAGAATAAAAACCATATGATCATCTCAATAGACGCAGGAAAGCTTTGGACAAAATTCAACATCCATTTATGATAAAAACTCTCCAGAAAGCGGGCATAGAGGGAACCTACCTCAACATAATAAAGGTGATATACAACAAACCCACAGCAAACATCATTCTCAATGGTGAAAAACTGAAAGCATTTCCTCTAAGATCAGGAACAAGACAAGGATGTCCACTCTCACCACTATTATTCAACATAGTTTTGGAAGTCCTAGCCAAGGCAGTCAGAGAAGAAAAAGAAATAAAAGGAATACAAACTGGAAAAGAAGAACTAAAACAGTCACTGTTTGCAGATGACATGATACTATACAGAGAATTCTAAAGATGCCACCAGAAAACTACTAGAGATAATCAATGAATTTGGTAAAGCTGCAGGATACAAAATTCATGCACAGATATCTCTTGCTTTCCTATACACTAATGATGAAAAACCTGTACGAGAAATTCAGGAAACACTCCCATTTACCACTGCAACAAAAAGAATAAAATACCTAGGAATAAACCTACCTAGGGAGACAAAAGACCTGTATGCAGAACACTCCAAGACACTGATGAAAGAAATTAAAGATGATACCAACAGATGGAGAGATATACCATGTTCTTGGACTGGAAGAATCAATATTGTGAAAATGGCTAAACTACCCAAAGCAATCTACAGATTTAATGCAATCCCTATCAAATTACCAATGGCATTTTTTACAGAACTAAACAAAAAATCTTAAAATTTGTATGGAGACACAGAAGACCCCACATAGCCAAAGCGGCCTTGAGGGAAAAAAATGGAACTGGGGGAATCAGACTCCCTGACTTCAGACTATACTACAAAGCTACAGTAATCAAGACAATATGGTACTGGCACAAAAACAGAGATATAGATCAATGGAACAGGATAGAAAGCCCAGAGATAAACCCACACACCTATGATCAACTAATCTATGACAAAGGAGGCAAGGATATACAATGGAGAAAAGACAGTCTCTTCAATAAGTGGTGCTGGGAAAACTGGACAGCTACATGTAAAAGAATGAAATTAGAACACTCCCTAACACCATACACAAAAATAAACTCAAAATGGATTAGAGACCTAAATGTAAGACTAGACACTATAAAGCTTTTAGAGGAAAACATAGGAAGAACACTCTTTGACATAAATCACAGCAAGATCTTTTTGATCCACCTCCTAGAGTAATGGAAATTAAAACAAAAATAAACAAATGGGACCTAATGAAACCTAAAAGCTTTTGCACAGCAAAGGAAACTACAAACAAGACGAAAAGACAACCCTCAGAATGGGAGAAAATATTTGCAAACGAATCAACGGACAAAGGATTAATCTCCAAAATATATAAACAGCTCATGCAGCTCAATATTAAAAAAACAAACAACCCAATCCAAAAATGGGCAGAAGACCTAAACAGACATTTCCAAAGAAGACATACAGATGGCCGGGAAGCACATGAAAAGCTGCTCAACATCACTAATTATTAGAAATGCAAATCAAAACTACAATGAGGTATCACCTCACACCAGTTAGAATTGGCATCATCAGAAAATCTATAAACAACAAATGCTGTAGAGGGAGGGTGTGGAGAAAAGGGAACTCTCTTGCACTGTTGGTGGGAATGTAAATTGATACAGCCACTATGGAAAACAGTATGGAGGTTCCTTAAAAAAATAAAAATAGAATTACCATATGACCCAGCAATCCCATTACTGGGCATATACCCAGAGAAAACCGTAATTCAAAAAGACATATGCACCTCAATGTTCATGGCAGCACTATTTACAACAGCCAGGTCATGGAAGCAACCTAAATGCCCATCAACAGACGAATGGATAAAGAAGATGTGGTACAATGGAATATTACTCAGCCATAAAAAGGAACGAAATAGTGTCATTTGTAGAGACATGATGGATCTAGAGACTGTCACAGAGAGTGAAATAAGTCAGAAAGAGAAAAACAAATATCGTATATTAACGCATATATGTGGAACCTAGAAAAATGGTACAGATGAACTAGTCTGCAGGGCAGAAATTGAGACACAGATGTAGAGAACAAACGTATGGACACCAAGGGGGGAAAGTGGGGGAGCGGGGGTGTGTGTGTGTGATGAACTGGGAGATTGGGATTAACATGTATACACTAATATGTATAAAATGGATAACTAATAATAATTTTTTTAAAAAAGAGTTAATGATACTAAGAAGCCCAATAATGAGAATTAGTTAGGCAGCAACAAGCTTTCATTCGGCGACTATATATCAAGCATCTGCTGTGTGCCAGGCACTGTTCTAAGCCCCAGCAATGAGCAGAACAGACAAAACCCTGTTCCCAGGGAGCTGCCTTTCTGGTGGTTATTCTTACTACCAGGTGGTCTACTGACATGAACGTGCACATCACTCCAGAGCACTCTCATTTGACAGCAAGGAGAGTTGAAGCCTTTTTTTTTCCCCCCCTTCTTTTTGGCTGCACGGTGTGGTATGAGGCATCTTAGCTTCCCAACGAGGGATCGAACCCACACGGCCTGCGGTGGAAGCACAGAGTCTTAACCACTGGACTGCCAGGGAAGTCCGAGAGCTACAGGCTTTTTATTCGCCTGAATTCAATGGTAAGCATAAAAGCACTTGGCAAATTAAAAGAAGAGAGAGGGAGCAGGGAAGGAATGGACTGGAGTTTGGGATTAGCAGATGCAAACTATTATAAATATATAGAATAAACAACAAGGTCTTACTGTATAGCACAGGGACTATAATCAATATCCTGTGATAAACCATAATGGAAAAGAATATGAAAGTATGTATAACTGAATCACTTTGCTATAGAGTAGAAATTAACACAACATTGTAAATCAAGTATACCTCAATAAAATAAACTTTAAGAGAGAGAGAGAGAGAGAGAGAGAGAGAGAGAGAAGAAGAAAGAGCCTGCACAGAGAGGGTGCCCATGAGTGAACAGAGAGCAGGCGAGCCTGCTCACCACACTGCTCGACAAGGAATGTGCCAAGACTGTGCGTGAGTCCGGGAGGGAATCCATCACTCCCCGGTCCACCTTGGTTCCTGGAAAGATCTAAGTGCAGGCATGGAACCTTGCAAGTCTCGTGTTTAAGCCTCTGTCACTTTTGTCCCACACGGCTTCTAAATGCAAACCAACCCTTTGGTCGGTTGTGAACTGAAGGACAGTCATCTGCTTCAGTGGCTTAAGGAAAATCTGTTCCTAATGAGTGACTTGAATGCTGAAGGGTAATTTCGATTCTATGTCATTTTCCTCTTAGAATCTAAGCCCTCTCAGAGGAAGGGTCAGTCCTTTCTATATTTCTCTGCTTACACCCCACGTCAGCCCTAAATGGAAGAGTCTGGTCTTAGAGATCCTCAGTAAAAGCAGGGTCTTCCCTCCCAAGCACCCTCTAAAACCTGCAAGGTCGTGACCCAAGTGGTTCCTGTTGGGAAGCCGATCCTCCCACGTCCCACCGGCACTCACTTTGCTAGTGTACTTGGCGATGTCCGCGGCGACATCTGCTGAGGCGGTGGCGATGGGCAGGTCTGCGTTTACTGAAGAGGCGAGGGTGCTTGTGGACCCCGAGCTGGTGACCAGGGGCGACGACTGGGTGCTAGTCACCAGGGTGATGGTGGAGGTGGACGGGCTCTGCGTGATCTCCTTCTGCTGGACAGCTAGGAAAGCAAAGGGTCCTGGTCATCCCACTGCCACGGGAAGGCCATCCCAGTAGGAAACTGTGGTGGGGAGCAGAGCCTCTGACAAACGCCCTGTGAGTTTCTCTACTTTCAAGTGACACAGACTCTCTCCTTGGCCAAACCCTAGCCAGGCTCCTCCGAGCTCCTTCTCAACGAGGCTTCCACCTTGGTCTATAAAGACGAATATAGCTTCTAACAGCTCAAGGCTGCATCCCTAGGATGACCCTTGCCCCCTTAAGGTCCCCGCCTGAGAAAATGCAAGGCTGCCGAATGAACTGACTGTATATTCCAGACGACACCTAATGATGGGGCCCATCTCCCAGTCTTTGTGGGATGGTCGGAGCCGACCTTCAATAGGTACCAGTTAGCAAACCCAGATGTTTCAAATGGACCAACATCCCCTTCCCACTTTATGTAAATTTTCACTTTCTGACTCTTCAGAACCTCCGCCCACCCCCCTCCCTATTCCCGAAATCTCCCTTTAAAACGCCCAGTCCCCTGTGTACATGTTCAGTTCACGCTGGACTTTTTGCCCTATTGCAATAGTATAGAGCTGATTAAAATCTGTCTTTACTACTTTAACTAGTGGCCAGCTTTCCTTATCTCTGACAAGATAATCTGGGATTTAAGAATCACACCATCAGACAAGATAATCTGGGATTTAAGAATCACACCATCAGACAAGATAATCTGGGATTTAAGAATCACACCATCAATGAGCTCCTTCTTGCCAGCACCTAAATTCCCCTAGGGAAGGCTCACTATTCTTAAGGGGTATGAATTCAGAAGACCGGAACTGGTCACCCCAACATGAAATATCCTAGACTCGGTTCTGTCCCAACGACTCTTCAAACAGCAAGATCAATCCAGCTGTACTTGAATGCTGCATGTCCAATCTTTCAGTCTGCCCTCCCCTCCATCTTTGAAGGGTTTCAATGGGAGCCAATTCAAGATCTGGCTACTCTTCAACCCCACGTCCTGCTGCAACTCTTTTAATAGTCCTACTCACAGGGGTGCACTCAGTATGTGAGCGTTTCAATCAAGGAGCCCAACCTTCAAGGATCTCGATGCAGGTTTCCCAGGGGAAAAAGATTCTACATCAGTGCTCACAAGAGCTGGGCCAACTGGTACCCATCAGATGGCTCAGCTTTCCATCAGCTCCAGATGGAGCCTCCTGCCGGGGGCTATGATTCCACACTTCAGCAACTGGTTCTTGATGCTGGCTCTTCTTGTGTGTGAGGCTAATTGCTAGTTATTAAGGTAACCTTTGCTACCAACTTCTCACACTGTACTCTTTCCAAAACAATGTCCAGGGGTTCATGGATGTGCACAAGAAAACTTAAACAAAGGTATTCTTTGCAGCACTACTTACAACAGGAAAAAAACTGGAAGCAACCTATATGTCCATCAGTAGGGGAATACTTTAAATAAACTGTGGAATACTATGCAGCAGTCCAAAAGAATAAGGGAGAGCTATACGCACTGACATGGACAGACCTCCAAAACATGCTGATGGGGGGAGGGGGTTGGGGCACAGAAAAAAGCAAGTATGGTACCATTTTTATGTTTTAAAAAAGAAAAAAGAAAAAAAAGTAATATTTTTATGAAGTCACATATATACATAAATATATATGCATACATGCATAAAAAAGATCTTACGGTTAACAGTGACCTCTGAGAAAGGGTGGAGAATGAAATGGCAAATCAATCAAGACAACAGATTTTTGTGTCTATGTGTCTATTTCACCCCTTTCTAAGAAGAACACATGCATGTATTTATAAAATGAGAAAAAAAAAGAAAAAAGAAAAGTACAAAGCAAGTTGGAAAACAATTTTTTAAAATAATGCCAAATGGAATGTGTGAGGCCTCCAGGATACAGTAGCCAGGAAACCAAGGGGAACTGAAAAAATAAAACGATTATTTTTCTCCTGTCCATGTGGCCAAAAAGGGACCGGGCGCCACGGAGAGCAGAAGGGGAGGCTCGGTACCTTTCACGGCCTGTCTGGTCTGATATCTCGTCCCCTGGGAAGACTGAGGCTGCTGGGTTTGCTGCTGGCTTTGCTGCTGGTTTTGCTGCTGCTGCTGGCGCTGCATCTTCTGCATGTGCCACTTTTGGGAGGACGTTTGAAACTTACTTGAGGAGTTCCACACGACCCGCTGCACGGCCGGGGCAGTCTCCTTCGGTAAAAGCGGCCTCTGCTTTTTCACTGGGCTTCCTGTGGCAGCGGCGGCCGGGGCCGTGACCGTGGATGTGGTGCTGGTGGTGGCCGTGACACCAGCCGTGGGAGTTTGGGCAGAAGAGCGGGTGAGGACCGGTGTTTCGGGGGGAGACTGGCTGCCCGCTGTCGTGGATGGTGGAGCTTTACCTACGACTAAAGCCAATGCGTGAAAAAACAAACAAACAAAAAGTGGATTTGACTCAGGCTGGCCTGCAGGGTCTCTACACCACCAAGTTCTGGGTGACCATCAGAGGCTGGCATGCTAAAGACCCCCAGTGAATGGGCACTTACACAATAACGCTCAGGCCACTTCGGCAGCAGGCTGTATCTTAAAATATCAGCCCCCTTGTGTTCCATGCACTTGCTCACATCTGAGACGTATGTCAAGGCGTCTGGGGGACTGAGGCCAACCTGACCCAGTCCCTGCCCTCAAGTTGCTCACCTACTAGTAGACGACGCAGTGGATGAACAGAATCACTGCAAGTATCTTGCTTTACAAAGTTAAAGTCGGGTAAGCACTTTGAGAAAGACCCAGCCAAAGTCAATCCGGAGATTAAGAGAAACGCTTTCTTTGGCCACGGAACATAGAAAGCATGCACCCCAAAGAACCAGACGGCTTCCCATAGGCCAAAGCGCTGAATAACAATAAATGACCCAGAAAGAAGAGTATCTTCTTTAATCTCTTCTGATTCCCTTCAGAACAGTCTCCGTGTGGTCCTGGTAGCCTTGACACCTAACACTAAAGGGAATTCCACCCCAAGGACAGAACCTTCCTCAGCACAATGGTATTTATCTAGAATTTAGATGCCTTGCTTTTGCTTTGATTGTAGTCATTCCTGTTGCATCTTTTATGTAGAGCACACTATATTGTTTTACCTACTGTGTGGTGGTCAAGTTTAAGTCTAAAATTGAGTTTTTTTTTTTAAAGAGCTGTTGTTTCAGACAAAAATATTAAGTCCGTAATTATGCAGGCAGGACTTAGGAATGGCAAAAATAATGAATGCGAGTGACTCAAGTTTGAAAAAAGCTGCCTTTCAGAGTCTGTCTTCTGGGAGGAGCTGGGCTATGGGGGTGGAGCGTAGGATTTCAACAGGCAGCAGGGAGAATCTGGAGGGGAACAGCCTTAGCCAAGACATGCTCAGGAATAGACAGCATTTTGGTAAGTGAGGGCAGGCAGTGAGGAGGGGTGGCCAGAAGGCAGGTTAGAGCCAAAAGCACTGAGCAGCGTAGAAGGGGGTGTGACCTTGTGAGTGCTCATCTGTTAAAGGGGTGTGTGGTCAGTAATCACTGCAGCAGCCCCTGGCACTGGAGAGGTGAACCTGCCCCCAGAGAGGATTCCCTGGGGTTCACACACAAAACACGGGTGCAAATCAGCACCCTTGATCTTGACAATGTGCCTCGACATCAAACTCTTCTTAATAAGGATTACACCTGTCTTTTCTAGATTTCTATCACCCAGGAAAGGCATGGGCTTGATTATTCTAGGGAATATTTTCAGTAAACTGTGGGTTTGGAGAAACCAAGGAGTCTGAGAGGAAAAGACAGGCTGACTTTTCTGACTCGGGGGGCGGGGGTGGCGGGGGGGATGTCTTCTTGGTAGTTATCACACCTGGCTGGCTCTCCTGCTCCTCTGGGGAAGAGTCCAGCCAAGTTCATGGGCAGGAACACAGGGTGGGCTGGGAGAAGAGCTCTACCTGCAGTGAGGAGCCCCCATCCTTCCCCAGGATGACCTGCCAGATACCAGATATAGCCCCTGCCCCTTCCAGGGGCAGAGATGGCTTTGAAATTGGCCCTTCTAAAAGCCCCACACTGGGAGGGTTCCCTCAGGCAGGGCTTCCAACCTGCAGAAGCAACTTTAATGCCTCCCTTTTCTGCCATGTGACCAAAAAATATATTGTCCTGGTTGATTAACTAGCCTGGTCCCTCTTTGGGCAAAGGGCAACCGCAAAAAGGTTCTTTTCTCTCTCCTGTCTTGCAAAAGCAAACAGCTGGCTTTGCAGATGGGTAACCAGTCTGCATGAGTCACGGCTGGAGCTCTTTCCCAAATAAAAAAACAGGAGTGTGCAATCTGAAAAGTTTCCAGGCTCGAAGCACTCTTGCGGTGGGGGGTGGGGGTGGGGGGTTCACTTAGATGCTAAAACATTCTAGAGTATTCTGATGGTTTATGGAGGCGGGGTAAAGGCCATGAAAAATTCCATTTGTCCTAGAAATTGGGAGTGTACAATCACCTGTAGCCTCAAAAAGGGTGAATTTCTTAAAGGCCAACACTCCAAAAGCAGCCCCATCAAACTAACCTACTTATTCCAGACTTTGGTCACGGTCTTGTACCTTAAAAAAATGACTTTTAAGAGAAGGATGGAAATGACTGATGTTACGGGGTAAGCGTAGTAAAGGTTGTTAAGCGAGCTCCTTTGGCCTCTGTTCGGAGAGCACTAGCTAGAAAAGCCATTTTGCTATCTGAGGATTCATATTCTGTGCAGAAGCCGCATTCCTAACTGAAGGTCAGTTGGAGGTCACCAAGCACTCTCCAAAACGCCCTTCACTTAATAAACTCATAAGTGAAAGTACATCACTGAAAAGATGCTCAACTGCAGAGTCTGACACGAAGCTGACTCTTCAAGACCCAAACCACCATCAGGGGGGCTCTGGATTTCAGACTAGGCAGTCTTGTCCCAACCCCTGGGAAGCCGCTCTGAATCATGTTTCAGAGACATCTTCAGCTTAAAAGTCCACCACACACTCGGGGACTCCTGGAGAAACTTCCTGCAGATACCAGTGGGAGGAAGAGCTCACTTTCATTTAATCAACTGGAATGCTTTTTATTTTGGAGGAAAACATGAGATCTTTTAAGGGACTCATATGTTTCCCTTTTTACTTTGACTGCTAGGGAGATCAGAGTCAAAATGGAAGCCCAACTTTGCTAACTCTAAAGGCTGGAACAGTATGTATTTTTGTTTTTGTATACAAATTTTCCCCAGACCTCTCACTATTCTACCTTCATCTTTTACACTGATTTCTTGATTTTCATTTCGTTTCTTATCAATCTGTCACAAATTCTTTCTGGAAGGGGCAAAAAACCACAACCAATCAAAAAACCACAACCAATCAAAAGATCTACTCCAGGGCTTCCCTGGTGGTGCAATGGTTGAGAGTCTACCTGCCGATGCAGGGGACACGGGTTCGTGCCCTGGTCCGGGAAGATCCCACACGCCGCGGAGCAGCTGGGCCCGTGAGCCATGGCTGCTGAGCCTGTGCGTCCGGAGCCTGTGCTCCGCAACAGCAGAGGCCACAACAGTGAGAGGCCCGCGTACCACAAAAAAAAACAAAGATCTACTCCAGAAAGAGAGGAATAGCATAAATGTATCATTCACAGGAACACTGCCATCTGTGCCCCCAATATTCCCACAAACCTCGCGGAATAAATGCGACTCCTATTGTTTTCTGCAACACTTGAGGTTGTCCCTCAAACCCCAATCCACAAAAGAATCGGATTTTTCAGATGCCATTCATAATTCTAAAGGATGGTGTGGTGGGCCATCCTTCCTGTCCCACCCAACTGCCTCTCTCTCTTGCTCCCTTGTACCATTGAGAGACATTCCATCCTCTTTTGATGAACTGCAGGAATTGAGGTTCCAGAACAGGTCACGTTGATACAAACACAGAGGAAAGATTCTCAAAGCCCATCCATCCCCCTCTTGCTTTAAGCAAGCCAGACTAAGAAATCCCCAGGGGATACAGAACTCAGAAGTTAGCTCCTGTCAGAAGTTAAGCAGTCAAAAATTAAACCTGGCTACCCCCTTAAGTAACTCACGAAGTCCATGAGGTTTTATGGCTACAACCTCTAATTTGTCCTTAGGCCATGTTTCTCCTGGCCCTTAATTAATTCTTCATTATCTTCCTCAGGCCTGTTGGAATCCCCTCAGCACCCACTAGCCAAACCAGTTGAAAAATGGACACACCATTGTAAAGCAATTATACCCCAATAAAGATGTTAAAAAAAAAAAAAGAAAAGAAAAATGGGCTGACTGCTTCTTCAATGGGAGGGACATCCTTCAAATCATTCCCACAT